TATTTAATTAATAATTTGTAAACTTTGAATGACATAAATTTTTTGTTTTTTTATACAAAAAATGTTTATTTAAATTGCATATAAATAAAGCCTCCTAGAGCTTAGAATAAAAGTTACTATAAAAATGTTTTGCAAGTATTTATGCATTAAAATTATAATTAATTTTCAGGTGCGCGATTTGGCTACATGCAAGTAAAAATTGGACTCGTAAATCTTTTGTTGAAGTATAATTTTAAACTCCACCCCCGGACTCAGGTCCCACTTGTTTTCGATGAAAGATTTATTGTTCTTTCGCCGAAAGACGGTGTACACTTTATTATCAAGCCACGATAGAATAATTATACTGTTTAATTCACCTCTAATTTTGATGAAATTTTTGTTAAGTCGACGCATTTTTGCGTGAAACCAAAAATCTGGCAGAAAGAAGCGTCTCTGGCTCGTGAACCAAAATCGTTTTGGCATATACTGCAATTAAGTGTAATGTATGAGAATTGATAATAATATTGATATTAATGAAGAAACATGTATAGAAAATAATACTATGTAAAAAATGTACACAAGAATCTTGTCTCAAAGCAGTTGCAATTGTTAGAGTTCAATTATAGTCCTTATGATATTTTTCACATTTTTTATGTATGAATATATCGATTATCTCTTGCATTTCCAAAATTAATTAAACAACAATGCCTTTTGAAATAAGTACAACATGGAAGTTCTGATCAACGACGATTTGTAAATATAATTTTATTGGAAATAATTCTTTATTCACTGAAGATGGTTTAATATAAATGTTTGGATCATCATTATTTATATTTTGTTTGTAATATTTAATATATTTTAAATTTATTTGTATTAATATCATGCCTCATTATCCTCTCATGGTTTTTTATTTGAATTTTAGTATTTGTTTATGTTTAATATTTAATATTCATACACCCAAAAAAATTAATTTTAATATTAGTGGAATCTGCTAAATCTTAAAAGATTTTATTCGTATATGTGGCCTCAAGAGAAGGCCATTAATATTAATTCTCTGAAATTAAGAGGAAAATATTCTGTGTACTATATATTCTAATAGTTAGAATAATTTCATCTTGCATTTACAGTACAAATTTTGTACTGTAAATCTATATTTATAATTCACATTATTTATACCGTAGTTTTTCAGTAATGAATAACGGAACGCAGCTTTACTGCGTCTATGTTTTCGCAAATGCAGCGCAACATTTCAATCAATCGTCACTGCAGAACGCAGCGATACACATTGCTTTTCGTATAAAACGTAAGAAGGCATTCCGCTTGAAATAAATATTTTCCTCTTAATACAAGAGAAAAACCAAAAAATAATATCTAATAAATTTTAGATGAACAGTTTACTTTATTGGAAGAGGAATACTCTTTCCGTATAAGTTTTTGCTTAGAATATGCCAATATGGAATTAAAGGAAATTTCACTTTTTATACATAGAATTTTTTTGGGTGTATCTTAAAATTATAATATAATATTAAATATAATATTATGATATAATAAAATATTATAAAATATAATATTAAATATTATCAAATATTACATAAAAAATCTTTTTCTTTTCTAAAATTAATAATATTATATAGTATAATAATATTGTTAATAATATTATATATATATATATATATATATGTGTGTGTG